ACTGTCTCTGCTTTTTAACCGCTGGCTAGGTTTGTCACAGCTTTTCTTCCAAGGAGCAAGCATCTTTTAATTTCATGGCTGTAGTCTTCTCTTCTATATCCTCCATGATTTCAGCCCGAAAAGAGGTTACATGTACATTTCTTAACCATTTAACATGTGCAAAATTGTGCTAGCATTTTTATTAGGTTCTTATCTTTTTTTAATGTGTCACTGGTAAAGTTTTATAGTGCTGTCTCCCTAAGATCGTCTTTCCTTATAAGCCCTATGGACTTAATCACACTATTGTGCATAGCATGGTGATCTTTTATGAAAGCATTTATCACATTATAGCAGAAGTGTATTAAGAGTGTGGGGTACACCCTTAAAAGACTAATCTTGGGTCCAAGAGCTTTGGGTACACACATTTTTACACACGGGTTTGTTTAAATACAGTTGACCCTTAAACAGCACAGGGGTTAAAGGTGCTGACCTTCTGCACAGTTAAAAAAAAATCTAAGTATAATTTATAGCTGGCCTTTCTTACTGGCAATTCCTCTATATCCCAGTGTTCCATATCCATGGATTCAACCAATCAATACTAATACTGTAGTAATGGGCTTCCCTTGTAGTTCAGTTGGTAAAGAATCTGCCTGCAATCCAGGAGACCCAAGTTCAATTTATGGATCAGGAAGATCCCCTGGAGAAGGAAATGGCAACCCACTCCAGTATTCTTGCCTGGAGAAACCCATGGACAGAGGAGCCTGGCAGGCTACAGTCCATGGGGCCACACGAGTCGGACACGACTTAGCAACTAAACCACCACTGTAGTATTACTCTTGGGAAAAAAATCTGTGTATAAGTTGACCCATGCAGTTCAAATCTATGTTGTTCAAGAGTCAACTCTTCTGAATGCATGAGACAAGTGCTCAGGGCTGGTGCACTGGGAAGACCCAGAGGGATGGGGTGGGGAGGGAGGCGGGAGGGGAGGATCGGGATGGGGAACACATGTAAATCCATGGCTGATTCATGTCAATGTATGGCAAAAACCAGTACAATATTGTAAAATAATTAGCCTTCAACTAATAAAAATAAATGAGAAAAAAAAAGGAAAAGAGTCAACTATTCTACCAGGCAGGTGTCCTGTCATATCAGTTTGTTTCAGGGTTGACAGAAGAATAAAGTATCCATTTCAGAGTCCACCCAGACAGTGGTTCTTAGTTGGAGGATATGGGCCCCTTGTTCCCTCTGACTTTCTGAGTCTTGGAGGGGATGGCCACCAGCAAAGACAAGCATTCAATTAGTTTACATATACTGGTTCAGGTTAGCAGTGACCCACTCTTGTCATCTTAGGTGCTGGAAATAGCATAGGTCAAAGCATGTTCCCGCATCACAATCATCCAGAAAACTGAATGGAAAGAAGATTCCTGGACCTCACTCCAGATCCGCCAAATCAGAACCTCCAGGACTAAGAACTAAGGAATCACATTTGGACACTCAGTGGTCCTTAGACACCCTAAACTTTGGGAACCACTGGACTAGAATGCCTAGCTAAACAAGACACGGTGCAGAGCCAGGCTCTCAGGTGCTTGATATACAGTCAAACTACCTTTCACCTAGAACAGCTGCCTTTTATTCTGTTTCATTCTGTTTTATTCTGTTTCATATCATTATTGCCCAACTCCAATGTCTCGCGTCCAATTTTAGACCATTATTGTTGAGATATGCCATGGATACAACACACTGACCTGTGTGAGGAATTGGGGGTTGAAAAAAAGAAAGTGCCACAAAGGGGCCTGACATATTAGAGAGTGTTGTTCTGTAGCTGGTTCATTAAGTTCATATCCCATCTGTCTGTCAAATTTTTTAGAACTTTGAATTAAACTCTCTGGTGTGTTCTGAAACAAAGACAGGACATCTGTAGCTTCCTAATGAATAATTTCTCTCTTCTATAATCTAGCCACTGATGAACTGGCACTAAGTTCTGTGTTTGTGTACAAGATGGGTTGGGAACAAAATACCAGTTAAAAACTGCAGAGATATTATGAGTGCATTAAAGGAATATAATTATTTTTATGGAGAAGATAGCCATTATTATAATGTGCCATACAGTAATGCTTTGTAATCATCAGCAAGTGCTAATGTAATGTTTAACATCTTTCACCTTGGAAAGTGAGTATTTTATTATGATTCAAGTCACAGGTAAAATAATGAAAGAACTTAACTCTCTCCTTAATAGCCTCAAATACATATTGCAAAATAACTCCAGTACTTAGCATGCAGAGAGGAGAAAAAGCAAGTTCTATCTTCTAGTGTGTGTAAGGGGACACTGTAATAAAGAGATGCTTTTGAAGTAAATAATGAAGAAAATGGACATGAAAGTACAGAATTAAGATGGATTTGCTTTGTCTCTTTTGAAATTCTTAAACAAGAACCCAAGATGAAATTTATTATGCTTGCTGGGTAAAATGGCACCAGGTATCAGAGAATTAGTGTGAGAATTAGCTAAGGGCTAGAAATCTCCATTCCCAGAAGTTATATTAATGATTCATCTTGCCCACCCTTTTCTAAATAAGACTTGACTTTATTTGTTCAAGTATTCTCACTTTTTGATGGCATAACAACTGTCATGTTTATATTTTAAGAGTAAAATGCCATATCTACAACTTATTTTCAATAAATGTCCAGAGAAAGAAAAAATAAATATGGCAAAGCATTAACCATTGATGAATCTAACAGAGTGGTATATGGGCTTTCACTCAACTATTCCATCAACTTTTCTGAATGGGGGAGATTTTTCACAGTATAAATTTGGAAGGAAAAAAAGAAATGCACAGTTTAACTGCTTAAGGTCAATGAAAATATTCACTGTCACTCCAGGAACCCCTGAAATCATACCCAAGCCTGTGAGCATGATTTGATGTGTAATTCTGGTTTTATAAAGGTTTGGCGTGGTACTCCTCTAAAATTATGACTGAAGAAGAAGGAAGTGAAATTCAATACTTCCCTACCCACTGTAATTTTTTTGATAGTGAGTATATTCCCCTCCAGAGTATGACTTGCACAGTAAATGCTACAATGGTTTTCTACCTTCAGGCCCATTCTTAAAAGATTATTCCTCCTTCTGGGGTTGACTAAAAACTGAGTTATCATAGTATGAAGAGCAAAATGAGTCTCTGTAAAGAACAGGTTTTATGTTAAGTCTTCGAACCAAATCGTTTCAAACTAGGGAAAGGTTTATAGACTTGGATCCATGAGTAAAATTTCATTTATCAAAATGAATGACAAGATGGATTTATTCAAGGAGTGAAATCATGGAATTGAGCTTTTCTTCTGGGCCACAAGTGCTGAAGCCCGTATGCCCTAGAGCCCGGGCTCAGTAACAAGTCATCAAAATGAGAAGTCCACATATCGCAGCTAGAGAGCAGCCCCTGACTCATCACAACTAGAGACTGCACGCAGCAGCAAAGACCCTGCCGCCTCTGCTTCTCCTGCTCCGTCATGTCCAACTCTACAACCCCACGGACTGTAGCCCATGAGGCTCCCCTGTCCAAGGAATTGCCAGCAAGAATACCAGAGTGGGTTGCCAATTTCCTCCTCCAAGATTTCTTCCTAACCCAGGGATCAAACTCGCGTCTCCTGCATTGCAGGCGGATTCTTTACCGCTGAGCCATCAAGGAAGCCCTAAGGAAGACCCAATGCACCCAAAATAAATAAAAATTAAAAAAAATATCTTTTTCCTGGAAGAGTCATAGATGCTTTCATGTTATATATGTTTATATTTGTTCCTATATGTTATATATGTTTCCATTTCAGAAACTTGAAGCAACTAGTTCATTTCACATTTTCTCTTCTTCTCCCCCATCATCATCTTTCTTCTCTAGCCCCCATTACTTCTATCTCAGACTCTCCTACTTAGAGTGCAGTCCTGGGCAAAAGACCCTATCACATCCCTGGAATCAGAAGGGCTAATGTACCTCACAACCCTCCTGGATTCCATGTCAGTTTGACCTCATTTTCATTTGCCAATGAATAGTGTTGTTCACTCTCCTCACTTGCTGGGAACCCACCAGCCTCAAGATCTCTCCAATCAATAATTTAAATCCCCCTTCTCTGAAACAGAAACAAGGAGATTCTCTCTCTCTCTCCCTCCCTCCCTTCTTCTTTATCTCTCCCCCACCAGCTTCCATTTCTATAGATCCAACAAATGACGGTTTGGGGAGTTACTAAACTTAGCTCTTGGGCTACCTGACCTATTTGCCCTTTCACAGCTGGCTTTCCTCTGCACCTGCTGGACCCATTATAGTTCTACATTCCATGGAAACCAAAAGATTCTTAAAACTTGCTTAGTAAATGCTGGTTTCCATTCTCCCAGGAATGCAAGTTCGTGACAGGTGACGTGCATAATGGGATCAGCTGAACCTAGTTATATTCTCTACTGAACCCCTTAGGTATAGCCACAAGACTTCCCAGATACCAAATACTTCTGTCCACTGCACCATAAGCATCTGCTTCCAGATACATGGTTAAAGTGATGACCAGACAGACACAGAAACAGCTGTGCACAGTTTCCTAAAGCACCTTCAGGATGACAGGTATTGTGTCTGCTCATCTGCTGCTGCTATTATTAGAAGCACTTCATACTAAGCTGTTGTTGAGGATGAAGTGGATTAAGACTTATGAAGTCTGTGTGATAAACACATGACACAGGGCTTTCGGGCGGGCTGGGTGGCATGCAGTTTTATTCAGCACCACACCTCAAATGCTCAGCAGGGCAACCTGCTTTAAGGGCACTTTCCAAGCAGCAGCAAGGTACTTCAAATGTTTGAATGATTCATCCAAACTGACCTTCCACCACAGCCCAACTAACCTCAGGGGATGGGCAGGCTGGCAACAAACTGCCACAGGGAAACACACTGGAGAGGAAGCAAGGGAACCACAGATGCCCACCAACTGGGCAGATGAGTCACTGGGCCCCTCTATGCCTTTGTTAACCTGTGAAGTTCACGGACAACACCACCTACCTCCTCCTATTTGCCTTGGGAGGATGTTCGGAGGACTACAGGCAATGCTGGCCAAGTGTTTAAAACTCCAGAAGATACTAGAATTCAGACAAATGGAATGCCAAGTCACAGAGGACATTGTGAACCCTAGCTCCTTCCTTATATCGACAGAGGCACGTCATTTATGGCATCTGTTAATGCAAATGTCTTTACATTTGGATCATAATAATAACTAGAGAGCCAGGAGATACCAAGCACTCAGCTATGTTGTGATGTGACTGCCCCTCAGGTAGAGTCTTATAGAGAAAGCAAGGGCCCTTGAGATGTGCATGCTGGAGAGTGTACCCTTTGATAAACTACTCCTGTTCAGAGTGTGAGAGCATCACTGAACTGGCACAGCAGATTCCCCCCTGTTCCAGGAGACATGTGATGGAAGTCTATTGAACTGGGCCACGAGCTGTGTCATCCACCAGCCACTCTCTGTAGATCTGATCTGTCGGTTCTACCCGCAGCCTACAGGAGAGAGAGCGATGCTGGAGGCAAAAGGCATTCTCAAGTGTGATCTCTGATAGATCTCACTTCTCCAGAGGATATGGAGAATAAACCACAAATAATAAAGCCCAACCTATGGAAAGAGACCAAAACAAGAGAAGGGGCATCAGACTCAGACAACTCACAGGACCCTGAAAAAATTTCCTGCAGGAATCAGGAAACAAAACATAGTTTCGGAAAGTTTGCCTCCTCAGAAGAATGCAGAGTAACTGGCCTCTTTAAAACAGATTCAGAAAAGCACAGTTCAGATCGAGATAGAAAGACGACAGAATGAAAGAAAAATGAAGGTGGTTGAGATGAATCTGAGATAAAAGGATTAACCCATAAAGGAGACAGTACAGAGCAGAACTGACTATGTGGCATCACGTTTCTTGAGGGCAGTTCAGCAACGCATATTTATATTCTTAAATATGTACATGGTCTTTTACTCAACAGGTCTATTTCTAAAAAATTTAATCCAAGGAAATAATAGTACAAATTTACAAAGATGGAAGTACAGGTGTTAATGAGGGCTTTTATAATAGAAAAAATGTGTCTACCAATGGAGAATCACTTAAATAAATTATGGTATTGATATATCACAACATTAAGATGAACATAGCATTAATAATTTTTAATTTTTTTCATACTCTTTTATATTACAGCTATTGAATATAGTTCCTTGTTCTATACAGTAGGACCTTGCTTTTTGATCTATTTTATATATAGTAGTGTGTATCCCCAAACTCCTAATTTAACCCCACCCATTCTTCCCTTTGCAACTATAAATTTGTTTCCTATGTCTGTGAGACTACTTCAGTTTTATAAATTCATTTGCATTGTATTTTTAGTTACCACATACAAGTTATGTCATATGATATTCGTCTTTCTCTGACTCACTTCACTTAGTATGATCAGCTCTAGGTCCAGGGCACACTTGAGCAATACTACTCTCAGATCAGGACAAGAAGTACCTCTGCCTTGGGCTTCCTGCTTTGCCTTGCTCTGCGTACCACAAACCCTGCATATCATAAACACACACACAAATATCGGAGCACAGGCCTGCCACTTGTCATCTGACCGTTAGCATGGGCCCAGCACAGCCTCTAACACTAAACACGGGCTCCTGTCTAGACCCCAGGGGAATACTGCTTCCCCTGGCTAACCCTCTCTCTTCAAAACAAAAGGCAGCTGTGTCAAAATGCCATGAAGATTTGCGGGTTGCTCCGAGGCCAACACAGAAGGCCAGTATCTCTGGAATTCAGGGCAGATCTGAGCAGCCCAAGTTCTTAGGTTAGAAAAAAGGCAAATTTGTTACCTTGTCAAATCTGTTTCAGAAAGCTTGAAGGCAATAAATCCTTCCATCGTGAACTATTTCCCAACAATGCCACACCTTTCTGTTTTTGTGTTCCAATTCATGGCTCTAGGAGAACTAACAACATTATATTCACAACAGTCACATATAATGGCAGAGGAAATTTTTGTAACACTAAACAAGTTTGTTTTACTTTTTGATTTATACCATCTCTCAGATCCCAAACCACCTCTTAGATTTTGCCGTGTGAGGCCCTTCTTGGGACTCTGCAAGCGATACTCCTAGTTTCTGCCAATAGGGAAGACTGCAGCGGGACGGCAAGGCCAGAGAAGGCAGGGACTTGCTCCTTTTTCTGTTTGTTGGATATTCCTGGCAGCATCATCTCCACAACAGCCCTTCAATGTGGCGGCAACAGCTGGTTCATGTCCTGTTGTTGTGGCAGTCCCAGACCAAGCATCACAGCATCTACTGGGCAGACAAGACTCCCTGTTCCACGTCTGCATTTGAGCTGCCCAATGCCCTCCTCCGAGCTTTTAGTTTCTCCTCTGCTCTCCGAGCCCCAGGCTGGTGGCTTCTATAGCTACTATTTTCATGTTATTTTGCATGCGTGTTAAGTAGCTTCAGTTGTGTCCAACTCTTTGAGACCCCATGGACTGTAGCCCACCAGGCTCCTCTGTCCAAGGAATTCTCCAGGCAAGAATACTGGAGTGGGTTGCCATGCCCTTCTCAAGGGGACCTTCCTGATCCAGGGATTGAACCCCCGTCTCTTTACATCTTTGGCACTGTCAAGCGGGTTCTTTACCACTAGCGCCGCCTGGGAAGCCAATGTTACTTTCATGACTTCTTTTTAGTATTTTAGTTCAAGGATACCTGTTTACCAGTTCCTTAAGTTCTTGCTGTAATTTCTGTTTTCCTAACTGAACCTTACTGATACAATAGATCTGAATGTAGTAAGCATGAAAAATAACAATAATTCTTCACAGTGCAATTAGACAGACACTGAGTGCTGGAATTATGGATGGCTTTACTTTTATAAACCTACTTAATAAGACTTAATTAAATGTTGAACAAATAAAATACAATCTTATTTAAATACTTTGAGTTTAAATTTTTTTTTTTTTCCAGTCAACGAAAGGGAAACTTTATTGAGGACCCAGGACCACAGGGCTTGGGCAGGAGGCTGCCCTGTGGGCAAAGGAGAAGCTGGTGGAGGAGCTTAATAAAGTTTTATTAAAGTATAAAGGAGATAGAGAAAGCTTCTGACATAGGCATCAGAAGGGGGCAGAAAGAGTACCCCCGAGTTTAAATTTTTTATGTTTAGAATTATGATTTGTACTGGGCTTTGTACTTTTAATAAATAATCTTGAATACTTTAGAAGAAAAAATATCTTACATTAAAAACATGAGGTATTAGTCAAGGTCCGAGTGACAGAGAGACTTATTTCAAGGAATGGGTTCATGTGATTGTCAAGGCGGTCAGGTCTGAAATCCAAAGGGCTGGCCACCAAGGCTAGAAATCTGGGACAGAAATGAAACTGCAGACTGGAGGCAGAATTTCTTCTTAACTGTGAAACCTCAGGTTTTCCTCTTAAGGCCTTTCAATTAATTGAATGAGACCCACTCACATTGTTGAAGGTAATCTTAAAGCCAACTAATTGTAGGTGTTAACCACATCTACAAAATACCTCCATAGCAACACCTAGATTAGTGTGGTTGAATAACTGTCTACAATAACTGAGCCAAGCTGATACATAAAACTAACCATCATTTTTACACATGAAAAATGTAAAATAATTTTATATAAAATATCTATAAAATACATAGTCTTTATTTTATAACATTAATTTAAATTTTTGTAAAATTTTATTTATTTATTTATTCATTATGTAATAAATTAACTTATTTAATTAAATTATTTTATTTATTTATTTAATGTTTGTATACCTTGAATACTTTATGTTTGGTTTAGAAACAAAAAACACAAACGTACAGCCCAAGAAAAAGAAATTTGAAGTTGCAGAAATTTCATCTAATTTTCTCAAGTTGTATATCTGAAAAGAAAAATTTTCTTGCTCTTTCATTATATTTGATTAATAACTAAATCTCTGTTAATTCTAAACATAGAATCTCCAGTATAGTCTCCTGTTTGCTAACTTAGGATGATCACAGCCAGGTGAAGGCTGCTCATTTCCACTGTTTTCAAGTTTGGAACATTTAAGCAGACGACCTCTTTCCGGAAGGGAAAATCCTGACTCCCTGCGCTAACCATGCGTGGATTTGGCCGTGTCCTTGAAACATATGCTGAGCGTCCCTGGTGCCTCAGACTGTAAGGAATTTGCCTGCAATGCCCAAGACCTAGATTAGATCCCTGGGTCGGGAAGATTCCCCGCAAAAGGCAATGGCTACCTACTCTAGTATTCTTGCCTGGAGAATTCCATGGACAGAGGAGCCTGGGGCCTACAGTCCATGGGGTGGCAAAGAATCAGACACTACCTGAGCAACTAACTTTCACTTTGAAATATACTGCAATCAGGATAGAAAAATGTTTATGGTCACTGCTATTTTCTGTCACACTGCTTCACAAGAAACTTCATAACAACTTACAAACGTAAATATTCTCATTTATTATCATTATTTGTTGGTTAATTTGGTAAGCCAAATTGATGGTAAGCCAAAAAAGATATGTTGTTTTTATTTTAATTATTGGTGAAGAGAAATAATTTCTCATTTGTACTTGAATTAACACTATATGTTACTAAAGCATGAAACCATTTATAGTTTATGACCAAGCAATTCTACTCATTAAATTTATTTTGAATAAATGGTCCATACTTAGAAGAACTGAAGAACTAAAAGCAGAAGATAGGTATGAAAGTACTTTTTCCTGGAGTTATTATAACATTGAAAAACTGGAACCAATGTTGAATGAGTGGAGACTTATTGTCTAATTATAATAAATTTATTTATTGACTTTATGCTGCCCCCTTCCCATGGCTGCTATATTAAGTTTATATGCCATCATGGGTAACAGGGCAGGAGGAGGTGAGAAGACTCATAAGTATAAAAAAGGTTAAGAAAATGCAAGACATTAATTACTCATACACTTTGAATATATTAAGATTTTTAAAAATGCATTAAAAAGGCCAGAAGGAAATTCATCAAAATGTTGATCTTGGTTATATTAGGGTCACAAGATCACAAGTACAATTTTTCTTTTTTAATTGGTTTTTTTTGCTTTAATTGCTTTATAGAAAAACTTTTTCTATAAAGAGGTTATATAACTTTTTCCTTGT